GGAGGGCATGAAAGGAGCAGAACGGGGTGTAGAGTTACGGAGCAGGGGCAGTGCAGACTGTGGTTTGGTGGGACCCCACATCACGCCCTGTGTGTCAACTACGGGCCATGCGGACATGATGACTGATGCGTCCTTCAAGCTGCCATTGTCTCACGCCATCATTGTTAGGGGGCCGTAGTGTCAGGCGCGCTCCGCCTTAATGACCCAGTCCAGCAGCGTCGTTTAGGGACCGTCATCATCATCCCCATCCATCTCCGTCACGCGCGCTGAGTGACATTCGGATCCTGCGCCCAGGGCCCCGGAGGACGGCGCCAGCCCCCAGGGGTCGGTAAATTGATTAGCGGCTGCGTACCCCCAGGACGGCCTGCTCGTTCACACTGTTACGCATCGCTGAGGATGGAGTGCAGGTGTGTGTGTGTGTGTGTGTGTGTGTGCGTGTGGGGGGTCAGTAGGAGAATCATCTCCCATGGGGGGCTTGGAGATGAAAACCCAGTCATCCGGTACAGCTGGAGATCACTGCAAGACAACCACCCCCCCCCCCAACGATATGGGGAACGCAGAGCAGAGCAGCCTTCTAGTGGGTGCTGGGATTCAGGGACCAGGAAGACACTGACTGCTTATCTTGTGGGGGGGGCGGGGGATTTACAGTATCACTGGCCAAGGGGAATGCTGGGAATGCTGGGAGACAGGCTACCTGATTACGTACACCCCCCCCTGCTGCGAGATGGTGGGTCCACCTTCCAGGGACAGGACTACTTTTCCCAAATAAATCTCCCTGTTACTATGATCCCCCACCCCTGAGTATGTGCTTATAGAGAGGGGAGAGGCGAGATGCAGCCATGTGAATGAGGCACAGGAACCCTGCATCCTCCACCCTTAACACAGCAGTCATGTGACGAGGGCTGAAACACGCCTGTACGGGCACATCCATGGCTCAGTGACACGCACGGTGGTTGTGACACTGCAGCCTCCCTGCCTCTAGGTGGCGCTCTAAGGGTCCCTGCGTCTTGCTTGCCGCGGTGCTGAACATCAGGGCTCCAGCGCCAGGCTGACAGCCGTAAATCTGCGTAATGCCACGGTATCAGCGCCCCGTCCGCAGCCATTGGGGTTCAGTCGCCCATTTGTCAATGTCTGGAATTGGCTAACCCTCCCAATCCCCCCCCCCCCCCGTCGATCACACAGAGGGCAGGCCCCATCCGCCATTCACACCGAGCTGTCAGTAAGCGTCAGCCTCTCAGGGCTCTGGCTGGGCCCGATAAGGCCGGCCTGGGGACATCCCCCCCCCCATCCCCTCGCAGCTGTCAGAGCGTGCTCACAGCATGCAGGTCTGGGCATGCTCAGATGCAGCGGCCCGCTCTGCCCGCAATGGGCTAGTTCATCCGGTCATCCTTTCACATCAGTCACACTTTCAGTTTTTCTGTCCTGAACGTAATCGTGGATGAACTTCCTTCTGTAAAACACGGAGCAGCTGGTCCACATGGCTTTAGCATGTACCTCCGTGAATATTCCCCCTGGCTGTGACAAATATTCCCCTTGGCCCACTGAAAAGCACATATTGAGAAACCATTGTCATCTTCTTCGTGTTCCAGCAGAGTAAGAGATGATTTTACACAAAGTGATGGACAGGTTTACATGCATATGGACTCTCACTAGGACAAAGAAGCTGAAGATGCATGGATGGATGGATGGATGAACGGATGGATGGATGGATGATTTATTCAGCGTACCACCTCATGCATCTTCCAGGGACTACTTTTTTCATGGAGGTGACCCCCTTCTGATCGGTGCGGTCATCGTGCGTGGGATCCGTCTGCTTGGAACCATGCTCCCCGCTCCGAACGCCTCTTTACCGACAAACCTGCGTACGCCGACCATATGCAAGCAGGAAGCGCAGTATCCTGCCAGACGGCAGGTTCCAAGCGTGTTTATGAAAATCCGGCTGCACAGGGGCACACATTGAGCCACTCTGGGCCGCAGGCTCCTGCGGTTTTCAGGCTGGGGAGTCCGGCCCTAGCTGGGAGGGGGGTGTGGGGCTGGGCTGATCTCTATCCCCGGCCCCCAGTTCCATGCCCAGGCTGCATGGAGACACTGCTCACTTGTTTAAGATGTAAAAAATGCACTACAGACCTCCCAGAAAAACACTGAACAGCGCAGAAAACCGTAGCGGAGAGGACCGGGCCGTTAATGGATAGCTGAGGCTGCACTGTGCATTTTTATTACAGATATTTATTTTTACAAACTAAATGTGGCTTTTCTGCCACAGAAGCATCCCTGTGAGATTCATCTGGACAAGGTCACGACACACAGTTGCACAGCACTGCCCGTCGAGCAGTCACTCCAGGGACACCACAGACAAAGGGATAGGGGTGACTGGATTCACGGTTACTCACTGACTGAGAGGGTCAAGCAGACACTGTTTAGGACAACGGTGACTCCGACAGTGTGAAAAAGCATTATAATTGGAGACGCAGATCTGTGTGCGTCCGTACAGACGGCATATTGGCCGTACAAAGCTCTATATCCATCTATATCTACATCAGTGAAAATGCCATGAGGTAGGATTATGGAGCAGGACAGTGGGCAAAAGGGATGTCAGAAAGTACAGCCACTTCTCGTTTAGCCACCACAAAAAAAAAATCACCTTCTAACACTTTTTCCCACATTTACGACCAAATTTTTTATGCATGACAATGACGTACGCTGGATTGAGAGGGGCCTTTGTCAGAAAGGATGAAAGAAATTGAGCGCGGAAGGCTGAAGGGAAGCCGTAAGCACAGGCACGGTCACGACGAGGGTACCGGGATTTTCACCTAGTTTAATGACCTGGTCATTGAAATGGAGCTCAGTCGTTAAACAGGGAGCGGTTGAACATGGCTGTGATTGGTCAGAAACAAATGTGGCCCAATCACAGGAAGATGGGGGATAAAGTGTGATACGAGCCCTTCAAAGGGAGTGGCACGTACCCCCGGTTTGAGAGACCATGCTGGTGGGGTCTGGGCAGCGCCCCGTGTCCCCTGGGGACGTACGACCCTCAGCGGGATGGGGGGCCCATTATCCGCCCGTGGGGAGGCCAGGCAGGACGGCGGAAACAGCAGATTCTGGCAGGCCGGCTCTATGGCGGCTGGCTGACCCGCTCACAACAGGAGCCCGTTTTCAAAGCCCCCGGCTGCTTGGTCGGCACCGATATATCTTGGCCGTAGAGTCTCTGCTCTGCTCCTCGGGAAAGTTGTGGGGGGGGGGGGGTAGCTTCGTCACCTTGCAGCGTGTACTGATGCTGGGTCAGAGTCTGCCTACCGCACCTCAGAATGACCCCCCCCCCCGTGACTGTGACCCACTAGCGGAGACAGCTTCAAGTGGGTATATACATCTCAATTTTTTAATTCTTTTTTTGTTAATTCTTTTGCGTTTATTTAATATGTGCAAAATTTGACATTTCCTGCTTTATTTCTAATACGCATCACATTCATCATATGCGGTATTTTCCAAGCAGTTACGTTTAAAAAGTGCCACTGAACACCGGCAGGGTGCATATTTAACACATATTTAAGCATTATGAGGATAAATTCCGTTATGGTTGGACGGGGCTTTTAGAGAGAGACAAAGGGATATGAATATGAATGAATATGAATATGAAAGAGGGCACTGAGCTGTGCGCTGGGGAGCACGAGAGCGCAGCGCCACCCGCAGGGCCGCTGCTCAAAGAGCGCCTCCTGGGGGCAGCACTAGCAACTGCTCTAGATTCCAGAACCCGCTCAACTAAAATGGCGCTTGTCTCTCCCCTCTGGCCGTATCACTCCCCCGCTGAGCTCCGCCTCCCCCCCCCCCCCCCCGAGAGAGAAGCCCTCCCTGCATGAACACACCCGAGGATAAGCCTGACCCCCCCCCCAGCAGGTACTTTGATGAAAGTGCTTCACCTCCTACGGTTGATCGTGAACACAGCCCGGCTGGGGAGGGCAGTAGGAGCCGGTTCTCCGGGTAAAAACACGAACCCAGTTCCCTGGGAATCTCCATTTGGGGCACGACTGACACCAGGAAGCCCAGAATGAGGCTGCCTCGCGATCGTGAGGTCCGGCTGATAATCACCATGTTTGCACGTCCTACGGTCGACGTTTGGAGTTCAAACTGACGTTGAGGGCTTGCAGTTTGATTTCACAGCTGTATGGTTTTCCTGCAGCTGCCCGCAAGCCTGCAAAGACTCTATTTCTCGCTTTATGTTTTCCTGAAGGCATCGTCATTCCCGCAGCTCATGCGACATCCGTTCCCCCAGTCCTCCTCATACATCCTCCTCATACATCCTCCTCATACATCCTGCATCCCCATTTATTCCACAATAAACCGGACACATTAATCCATCTCCATATAACCTCTGTAATGTCTCTGTAATTTTCCCGTAATGTTCCTTATGGCCTTTCTGTAACATCCCTATAACCTCTCAATAAGGTTCTTTTAATGTCTCCGTAACATTGCTGTAACCTCTTCATAATGTCTCTGTAATGTTCCTGTAACATCTCCATAAATGGCCATGTAACCTCTCGGTAATGTCCTATAACATCTCCATATAACATCCATGTACCCTCTGAAACATCCTGTAATATCTCAGTAACATGTATCTTGTAACATCTCCATATACGGCCTTGTAACCTCTATGCAACGTCTCTGTAATGTCTTCGTAATGATCGTATAACATCTCCATAACGTCCCAGTAACATCTCCTTAACATCTCCAAATAACGTCCTTGTACCCTCTGAAACGTCTCTGTAACATCCCTGCACTGTGGCTGAAGCTGAATCCAGGAGGATTCCCGAAGATGCCGCCTCATGAGGAGATCGCGTCCCCCTTCGTCATTTAGCGTGAATGAACAGAAGCTGACTCTGCTCTCTGTTAATTAGGCTGACAGGGGAGCACAGAGCACCACTCGGCTGTCGTCTTAGTGATGCACGGTGGGAATGAAGTGCAGAGCTCCCCCCCCCCGGTCCCCAGGTCAGAAAACACAAACATACCATTGTGGCCCGGCTCCGACTCCGCGCGACTTCCCTCTGGAGACGTGCCACAGCCAGCTTCTCCCTGCGTGGGGGAAAGACGGACAGGAGCCGATCAGAGGGATGGGAGGCGGGGGTGGGGGGGGAAGCGGGTCGCTCTTCATGGAGAGATAAAGAACAGCCGACAGCTTCACCCTGAGTACAGGAGGGCTGTAGAGAAGATCCAGAAGGACCAAGCCTGAAGGACGGACTGTATCACAGCAAACACGCACACACAGACAACACAGACACACAGACAGCACAGAGACACACACAGACACACACACACAGCACAGAGACACACACAGCACACAGACACACACAGCAAACAGACACACACAGCACAGAGACACATGCAATGAAAACACTGTAACAAAAAAATAAAATAACGGAAGGCTTGTTATATCAGAGCAGAAGTGTCCATCAGAAAAGTCCATCAGAAAGAAAATTCAATCTCATGTATCAGGATGGAACTTCATTCATTCAATATCCATCTCAATATGTTCACTACCTCCCAGCAGAGGAGGGCTTTGAGTAATACCAAAAAGCCTATTTGCCAGCACTCTGAGGTTCGGGAAATATCAGTCCGCATTTATTAAACGTGTCATATCTCTGAATAGATAACGCTCGCACTCCCAGGAAATCAAAGGGATTCTGGACACAGAGGCAGATGGGTGCCAAGGCGTTTGTGCCCAGATTATATACCCTTTACACACCAGGCATTAGTGTGAAGTGCACAGTATTGCACATCTATCATTCGCAAAGCCACCTGATATCAAACTAGCCTCTATGTCACCTCCATGCTCCCAATACTACCCGAAAGCTGAAGTACCCCTTATCCATGCCCCAGTTACGGCTTCGAATCAAAAACAGCCCTTCCAGTCCCCCATAAGTGCCTCAAGGCTACAGTACTCCTTGTCCAAACTCCAGTAACTGCCCCAAATCTATCATAGCCCCCTCAAGCCCCCATAACTGCCTCAAGGCTAGAATAATCCTCGTCCATGCCCCAGTAACTGCCCCAAATCTATCACAGCCCCCTCCATGCCCCCGTCACTGCCTGAAGGCTACAATACCCCTAATCATGCCCGGGAACTGCCCCAGATCCATATCAACCCGCCCTATGCCTCTGAAACAGCCCCCAAGCTACTACAGCCCATTCCACCACCCCCCCGTGGGCCTGCAATCAAGCCTAGTGCACAAATACACGCCTCTGTCACTATGAACAGTTTTCGCTGCCGGTTATTCCTGTCGGATCGGGGCACTTCCATTTCTTACGAGCCCCGCTCCCTCCGGATTCGGCGGGCAGGACCCGCATCTCAAAGAACCTATAGAAGGAGACGTGGCAGAGGATGAAAAATGAGAGGGGAGCCGTAATTTAATGCGAGGACGAATACCGCTGCCAAGAATGACATTCTGTATAAAGCGCGATTACTGTAATTGGGATGGATTTTAGTGGCAGTCAAAACAGCCCCAGCACAGCTTGCTTAATGCGGGTACTAGTGTCTCCCCCCCGCCCGCATGGGGGCGACAGCTGAGCACAGCGTTCAGGTCTGTGTACTGAGCACCACTGAACATCTGCGAGCTGATTTACTGACTGTGCCATCCATTCTGTACTCCACTCTGACTTTGGCAAATTCATATATAAACATATTTGAAGGCTCGTCCGACATTCAATCAGCAGCAGAGGAGTAATACCCGGCACTTCATTACACACACCTGAAACTTCGGGAAAATGCAATAAAATTATGACACAAATGCACCAGACAGAAAACGCTGTCACATTCAATAAATGACCTCATCCGACACCTCTTTACACATAACCCAGATTTCTGAACTAGCTAAAAATAGAGAAAAAAAATATGAATAATGACTCTCACCTAAAGCAATCTTTAGTCTATGCTTGGATGTTTTACTTACATGCAAAATCTAGTTAAAACTTCCCTGGTTATAACCGGTTTAACCGACTAGAAGTTTCGAGCTGCTCAGTGACATAAGAGCAGGACACCTCCTGAGGTCACGGTGGGGTCTCTAACAGGGGTACTGCCCCCACCCCCGCATACCGGGTCGTAAAAGCTCTCCAGCGACGCAGTCGTTAAACTGCAGCGCGATTCGAGATGCAAATGTCATGCATTTCATGCAACATCCTGTAGTACCACAAGGCAGGACTGAGTCTGTCCAAATGCTGAAACGTCTTCTGATCCACTTTGCCCATTTTCTCCTTGGACTGTGATCAGCAGATCTCCCACTGAGAGCTGTGATGAAATCTACTGCTGTGATGATGGTGACAGCTGGCGGTCAGGGCCGAAGGTCGCGGGAGATGGTCAGAGCCAAAGGAGAAATCTGACGGCCCAAGCAGATCATTATTGCTGATTGTCAGGCCAGACGGCTACAGCTGCTAGTTAGTGCTGATGAGAGTTGATGGCCGGTGTTGAATGTCAGTGTTGATAATCCGCGCTTATTTGGGATTGACCAAGACACTCTTTGCAGGGGGGAGATTCTAAGCAGCGTTACGCTCACCGCTGGAGCTTGACAAGGTCATTCGTCAGCTTTATTATTATGAAACCTCACCTGGTCTTATGCACCTCTGGATCCTGGGGCTTTAATAACACAACCCTGTCAATCTACATCATGAAGAGGAAGTTTCAGGGTAAAAACACAATGAGAAAAGCAGGCAGAGGTGTTAATCCTGGAGCAGGGACGCTGCCAGAAGGAGCTGGGGGCACAGCGCTCATCAGATGTCACAGCACCCCCTTCACAAAGCAAACCCAGTCATTATGATGCTGTCTTGGGGGGTCTGGCTCCATTTCAGTTTCACCATATCACACTGGTCTGCCCCCTGCTGGTGGCCCACGGGATCACCAGGACCAGCCTGACAGACTGAATTTAGTGTGTGAAACTTTCACCTCCGATGAACTGTGTTTAGACTCGATTACTCTGGAGCCCCTATTAGTGGGGGGCGGTCTCCGGCATATTTACTGCTTGAATGGACTAAATTTACAGTTAAAAAAACTGGGATGTCGCTAATCAACTAATTGGTGTGGGAAGCCGACAGCATACAACAAAAATAGTTTCTGTGGAGGCGTCTGTTTTTTTTTGGCCAGTGGGCAGTTCTCCACATGTAAAGTATGACACTCAGCTGGACGAAAGCCTGGCCCCACATCTGAGGGTGAAACAGTGGGTAACAGCACACATGTGACTCCGCCCACCTAGGAACACTGCACACTCAGCACACAAGTGACTCCACCCACCTATGAGCGCTGTCCGCTCAGCACACGTGACTCCATCCACCTATGAGCGCTGTCCGCTCAGCACACATGACTCCACCCACCTATGAGTACTGTCCGCTTAGCACATGTGACTCCACCCACTGATGACCACAGCCCACTCAGAACAAGTGACTCTATCCACCGAGAAATACTGTACACTCATGCTGCATTCGATTATCTCGGCGAAGTCATAAATTCCAAGGTGTGTAACGTCACATCTGACCAGTCTCCCGTTCAAGCTACACATCTCCGAACAAACATGGCTGCCTCCACGAACACACTGTTGTTGTTGTTGTTGTTGTTGTTGTTGTTGTTGTCTGAGCACGAAAAGCTCATGGAAAGATATTTATTAATTAACAGCAGCAGAATCATAGCAAAATTCTTTATCTGAGAGGCAAACAAATCACAAACAAACAAAAGACACTAACAAGTCTGGTAAAAATACTGATATTTGACAAAATAAACATTTTGAAATATCTATAAAATAGAGAAGGAGTGAAACTGCTGAGACTATGTAAGCCGCCATGTTGAAATGACAACAGGGGAATGTCATACAGCAAACATCGGAAAAGGGGGCGTGTTTCAGTCAGGATGTGACATTTTCAAGACGTTTTTCTCTGACAGAAAATGAAACGCAGGATCAGCACAGGTGACTCTCCACCAATGAGCACTGTCCACTCAGCACATGTGACTCCGCCCCCTGGAAAGCATTGTAAAGCCTAGCTCTGATCACCAAACTCATCACATATGATAAATGGATACTCTATAGCAAAATGCAGACATATTGCACTAAAAGGTAGGGATTCTGCATGAAGGACAAACAGTCCTCAGCGTTGAGAGGGCAGCCGGACATGCCCCGCGTCTCTCATGCGGGCCGTGTCGTGTTCTTCATTCACTCAGCCATGCCACAAACCACATCCGAAATCACTCTAATTCCCCGTTGTGCAATCCTCTCACGGATCCAAAACTTCCTTCCGTGGCGCGGACAAAGAACTCAGCGGGGAGCAGCGCGAGTTTGGCTCCTGCCCGTCTCCCAGGTCGCGTTACACAAGCCCCACTGCAGAAAGGTTTACTGCGGCAAGCAGCGTGCCGCGCTGGGCTCACGTCCCGTCCGGACCAGCGGGAACAAACCCCGAAGGACACTCATGCAAATCCACAGATGCACCAGCTGCAAATGTCGGCCACATTCCGAGCGCATGCACTCATATTGACATTAGTGCGGCATGACACACTTTCTGTCGAATTGCCTGAAATTAACGGGCTTCGCCAAATCTTATCTGTCAAATCCATTTTTATTCCTGGAGATACGCAGGAAGGGGTCAACACTAAGATTCCATTTAGGATATGAACCATCCGGGATCAGCCCAGAAAGCTCTAATTACGAGGAGGACAGCACCGGAGCGCCGTTATCGGATAGGAAGATTCCATTATCGCAAGTAGCAGCTCCTCCCTTCCATCATCTGAGAGTGAAATTAAGATGCATATCAAGCAGAATTGTTTCAGCGCTCCTGCAGCTGTCTTTAGTTTCTCAATTTTGTTTTTTTAAGCTCTCCTAACGGCTCGTTTGAGGAGGAGGCTGCGCAGCACCGGCAGCTGGACGGCCTGTCGGCTTCGCCGCGCCGCGCCGCTCCTGAGCGCCGAGTAAACACTCGGTCTCCGGTATTTTGGACACCGTCCCAGCCAGAGGCAGGCAGTGACTCACCAGTCAGACATGGAAATTGGACATGCTCCTTGCCGTGTCTCCCCCACATAATTGTTGTAGATGTAATTTATGATTTCA